TTCATGATTTCATGAGCTATAGCCCACGATTATTAGGCATTTTTTGTCGTTTTGATATACTTGCAAACAATTTTGTGAACGTGAAAATTCATGATTTTAGGAGCTATAACGCACGATTATTAGCTATTTTTAATCGATTCAAGCTATTGGCAAATAATTTCACAGAGACCAAAATTAATAATGAGCAATAGCACATAACTTTTGGCTATTTTTGTCTTTTCAACCCATTCATAATACACGATTCAATGTAGTATAACGCACGATTCTTTGCCATTTTGGTCATTTCGACTTACTGCAAATAATTTCGCAGAGTAAAAAAATCATAACTTCCTAAGCTATAACATAGGATTTTTGGCCTTTCATCATTTCACCATTCATAATACCCGATTCATTTTCTTAGGTACCGAGCGACCTGCTAGGCGCGGTCGCGGTGCTACCAGGGAACAGAGCCTCATCCCTAATATTTATCAGAGGGTCATGATCCGATAGGAAAACAGAGTGCCTATCGGGGCCTTTGCTAATTTTTTTAACAATTTTCTCGCCGCTTTAGCTAGGAGATATGATTTCTTCAATATTTTTTTATCGTGGAAATCGCAGCGACTTGATGCGCTGGTGACTTGTTGGATATATATATGTATAAATCATTTATTTGAATTTTCATCATTATTAGTTATTAGTTTATTATTATGTTTAATACACTGATTTGTATCTCTTTTTTCTTTATATGCTGAAGCGATTATTCTTCCTTGACGATAACATTTGTGCCTGGACTTACTGCTTCACGCAAATCAATCTATCGTTCAATAGATGGTGGTTTGAGGTGAAGAAAAAAAATATTTTGTTCAAATAACAAAAGATTGGGAGCGCTTCTGGCATCTTGACGAGCGCGTAGATGGTGTAGATTTTTTTGCACTTTGCGATTACTGGTATACGAATGAAATTCAGGTATTAATAATGCAACATGTTTTCATTTATTTATTGTTTGAATTTCTATATTGTTTTGATTTGACATTGTTTTGCAGGCTCAAGCTAAAACAGCAAGGAGGAACCGCAACGCGCCCCGTAGTTACGAGCATCACGAGGGCTCCAGGTCCTTCAGCCAGCATTATCATCAGTTGGAGCTTGAGGTATATAATATAGTAGCTTTTAAGTTGTCAATTTGAGTATAATTTATGTGTTATGGGTTACTGATATATTTGAATAAAACTAGGGAATGGGAGATCTCGAACATTTTGTAGATCGTATTCTGACTATCTGGAGCCTGAATTACGCCGATGAAGAGAAGAAAACGAAGAATAAGGATCTGGCTGCAAGTAGCAGTTCATTTGTATATTCAATTTCATAACAATGCATCATTAATAAGTCGACTTGCCCGGGTTATTTTGATATATCGCAGGAAAAATTACATGCCAATGTACTAGAGCAAATGTCTCAGTCCCAAGTCGGTTTTAGCACTCTGACCAGGCTAAGTAGAGAGGAGGACTCCATCATCGAGACGGTCATTGGACCGAGTAGGAAGAACAGATACCGGTGGAGAGGATTCGAGCATCGGCCGCACGAGTCTAGTAGCACCTACGAGTCTGCAGCACCACCAGGAAACAGTTCATATCAAGAACACGGTAGAGCAGCGGTTGAAAGCGATTGAAGATTGGCAGTCACAGCAAATAACATATCAGCGGATGAAACGAAGGAAAAACGGAGGTGCCGGGAATAGAGGGAATTGGAATTCTCGCAATTCATGTCAACTCTATCTCAGGAGGCTCAGGAGGCATATAGGAGACGGTTTATGGTGGATCAGGTAATATATATACTTTACTTTTTTTTAATTTAATGAATTAAATATGTAATTCTTACTTAGTTATGAATTGAAATTTTCTTCGTGACTAAATGATATCATACACACCGATACACACTGATACAAAATGTTACACACACCCTAACCTTAACCCTAATACAAAGCCAAAAATATACTTATAATGTTTTTATGTGATGGTGCGTGCGTGCGTGGTGAGAGAATTGTGGGTGGGGTTAGGGTGGGTGCGTGCGTGTGTGGTGAGAGAATTGTGGGTGAGGTTAGGGTGCGTGCGTGTGTGGTGAGAGAATTGTGTGTGCGTGTGTGCGTGTTGATGGTGGTGTTCATGGTGCGTGCGTGCGTGCGTGGTGAGAGAATTGTTAGAGGGGTTAGAGTGCGTGCGTGCGTGCGCGCATGCATGGTGAGAGAATTGTGCATGCGTGTGTTGATGGTGCGTGCGTGCGTGATGAGAGAATTGTGGGTGGGGTTAGGGTGTGTATGTGTGTGGTGAGAGGATTGTGCGTACATGTGTATAATACATAAGAATATGCTATGATACTCTCTCCAAAATATATAATACACAAGAATATGCTATGACACTCTCATATTGCTAAACTTGCATGTTATACCATGTTGTTTTATATTTTGTTACTTTACTACAAAATTTAGTTTTTGGTGAGTATTGCTCTATAACTCTTGTTAACGTTTGATTTATATTTGTAAGCCGGGACTTCTAGACAAGGTAAAGACGGGGGTAATCATGGTGGAGCTGGTGATGAGGATGATGGTGAGGAATGATTTGTATTAGTTTAACTTTGAAAATAATATATGAATGTTGTATAAACAATATGTATTATGTCGGGATATTTTTGCTTGTTTTTATTGAAATATATTTGTTATATATGCGCGAGAATGAATAATATATTCTTGAGCATTGTTTTAAAATTTTTATGCTATTGTACATGGTTTTTTCAATTTTCAAAACATTTTTTTTAAAATGTCACATTTAGCAACGGATTGGCCATCGCCATAAAGAATTTAGCGACGGAAAATGAATACAGAAAAAATACTACTTTTCTTTTGGCGACGGACATGTCGTCGCCATAAATTCCTTAGGCGACGAAAAACGGATACAAGATATGTCGTTTTCTTTTTTTTAATAATAGAGCGACAGAAAATCTGTTGCTACTTACCTGTCGGTGACCTTCAGCGACGAAAATTCCATCCCTAAAAGACCAATTAGGGACCCTAAATGCACAGACGGTTATTTAGCGACGGAAACCCTTTTATTCCGTAGCTATAACTTTTAGCGATGGAAATTCGGCCTTTGGTGACGAATTTGTCCGTCGCAAAAGATCTTTTTCCAGCAGTGTCTACCCATTACAAAACAATTTTACAAAGTTTAGAGTTCGTATACTTTTATGAGGTATAACCTGTGATATTTGCTAATTTTTGGTCATTGATATCCATTGGTAAACTATTTCATTGTGGTCAAAATTCATGATTTCATGAGCTATATAATCCATGATTTTTTATCATTCTTAATTATTTTGATCCGTTGACAAATAATTTCATGGAGCTTAAACATTCACGATATCATGATCTCTAATTCATAATTTTTGGCATTTTTAGTTGTTTTTGCCCTATAACAAATAATCTCACTGACTTTGAAAAATTCACAATTTCATGAGCTATAACCTAGATTTTTTACCATTTTTTCTTGTTTCTACCCATTGTTAAATAACTCCACAGAGTTCAAAATTCCCAATTTAATGAACCGCGACTTTTGGCCTTTTTTTTGTTATTCCGACCCGTTAGCAAATAATTTTTCATGAGTTATACTTATAGACCATAAAATCGTGAATCAAGTATGTGTATATCAAACTTTGTGATTTTGGTGAACTATATAACTCAAAAAATCGTGAAAAAAGTCATAGTCTGGCCCAAATGGCACATTCTGGCAAGCTGATGCCGTTACGGACCTTTAACCAAAAAGCACAATTAAAACTCCAAACACTTATCCGAATCTCTTTTTTCCAGGAGGGAGGAGGTGACAGAGGTACCGAGCATCCCTTATCCAGCACTCTCTCCCTCCAATCAGCATTTTTAGGTGTCGCTACAATCCCAACATGATCATTCCGCAGATCCTCACATCAGCATATATAAATCACTCGCTTAAGCGTCAGAGGGGTTATGACCTAACTTCCTGACATCTATTTCATGAGAGCAAAAACGGCCGGTCTCAGCTGGGTCGACTTCTGAAGGAAGCATCTTGTCTCTAAACCGCACAACCCCAATTTCTTCCTCACTAATCCATCCAAGCCCCATTGCTTGAGTCTTAACATGTGCGCGCACCTGAAGATACATGACAGCCTATTTGCATTCTTGTATTAGCATCCACCACTGTTGATATATATTATAACATTGCAGTAACTAACACACAACCTATGCTTTAAGTAGAGATCCTAGACTAACTTCTGAGAGGATCCATGTCCTTCGAGTCACCTCTTCTTCGCCCTATTTACAGTGCAACCAAAACCCTCCAATCTCATAACCGACCAAATTCAAAAACAGAGCAACATGGCCACCCTCATTCTCCTCCATCTCCTCCTCATCTCCACCACCACCATCTCTTGACCCCCCAAAACCACCTGCACCCGCACCCGCACCCTCCATCCATCCTTCTGCCGAACCATCCTCCCCACCAGACCCAACCTCCCTCTCTCCAACTACACCCTCATTTCCACATCCCAATCCCTCTCCGCCTCCACACTCACACCTCCCCATCCTTTCCTCACCCAGCGCCACTCCTCCCTCCCCGAAACCGCAATCTCCACCATCGATGACTGCCTCTCCCTTGCCGATCTCACGCTTGATGCCCTCTTCCTCTCCAACCAAACCCTAAACCTGAACATATTTATCCACAAACCACACCCAAGATGTTCACTCTTCTCTCTTTAACCATAACAAACATTCAAACTTGACTTGATGGACATGCCCTTAACTGGGCCGATATTGACACCGGACTTTATGACCCAGGGTTCAATGGGGCAATGATGTACAGAGTTGCACTTGATCTGTTTGTTGCAGCATGGGTTGATGGCGATGAAGAGGGGATATTCGGAGGATGGAAGCCGCAACTTAACAGCTATTTCGGATGCAGTGATGGAGAGGGGATACTTGGAGGCCGGTGGAACAGCCGGTGAAGGTGAGGGAGGTTGTGGTGGTGAACATGGATGGAAGCCGCAACTTAACAGCTATTTCGGATGCAGTGATGGAGAGGGGATACTTGGAGGCCGGTGGAACAGCCGGTGAAGGTGAGGGAGGTTGTGGTGGTGAACATCTATGTTGCATAGACACGGGTACGGGTACGGGACACGACAAATTTGTAAAATGTAGGGTACGAGGACATGGTTGTGTATATATAAAATAATTTATATCAATATTAAATTAAATACCTACTACATTTTCATGCATATCAATGGCTTTCAAGGGAATATCTGTTGTATATATATCAGATCAATGGCTTTCAAGGGAATATTGGTTGTGTGTGTGTGTGTGTGTGTGTATTTACACACAATTATCTTTCATGTCTCAGCTTTTTCTTTTATTTTTAGGTTCTTTCATTGTATTCAAACTCATTCTCAATCTCCCAAATGAAACAAGCCCCTTTGAACCATGTCCTTTAAACAGCAGAAGTTGAATGGAATGATGAGGCTTTTGGGCAACTTGTTGTCAGGAACAGAGACATGTTGAGAACTCAACCTTAGGTAGATAGCCAGCTGCTGTTATGAAGATTGAACAGCCTGTACTCATAGAAGAGCGTTAAAGGGCAGTCAGTCATAACAAGAGTTAATAGAACTGGCAGTTAAAGGGCAATTAAATACAACTGGCAGAACATATACAGCCGATGACCATCCAAATCTCCAATCCAATTGTAAGCCCGTCGTCTTTGTAAAGCCCATAAACACCTTTAATTCTCAATGAGCATATGAAGGGAGTTTTGCAGGGATAATGCAGGTGGCTTAGGTGAATTTTCATAGCCTCCAACCAACAATTTTTGTCCATTTTTGCTTCTTTTAAGGTGAGGAAATTGAGTACATGTATTTAAATATTCAAACTTTCATGGGCTATAACGCATATATTTTTTATTTTATTTTGACCCAATGTCAGTTAAGTATGCATACTTCACAGTTTTCCAATTTTCATGGATTAACCCATTATTTTTTGTCTATTTTTATTTGTTTTGATCCACGAGCAACTAAATATCCATACTTCAAATTTTGCCATTTTCATGGACTATACCCATGACTTTTGTCCAATTTTCGTTTTTCTGCCCAAAACCACAAAATTCACGACTTCAAGAGTTATAACGACCATTTTTTATCAATTTTCCTTCGTCTCAACCCGATGGCAATGAAGTATGAGTATTTCAAAAAAACGATTTTTGTTCTCTAAAGCAATGTCAACCAAATATGGGTCATTCAACATTTGAAATTTTCATGGCCTCAAACCCATGATTTTTGTCCATTTTTGCTATTTTCGATGAAGGAAATTAAGTAAGGCTGCGTTTGGGAACTTGGATTTGAACCCTGGATTTAAAATTCAGGGTATTTCAAATCCAAATCTCTAGTTTGGACTTTCAATTAGGCCTAGATTTCATATCAAATCATTTGAGAGAGGAGAATTTGACAGCCCAAATACAGATATTTTAAATCCCACCCTCACCCTTGGTATTTACCAAATCCCGATCTCGACTCCTCTCTCTCATTTCTCAGTCCCCCCGATCCAAATCTCCTCTCTCTCCCCTTCTCCTCTCTCGTCGAACCCTAGATCTGATCGTCTCCCCCTTTCTCCTCTCTCTCCCCGTTCCATCGAAACCCTAGCTCCGCCTCCTCCTCCCCCCTGACGCCGCCGCGTAGGTCCACCTCCAGGAGGCGGAGGAGAGGCTAACACCCCGCCTGCGACCACGTCGACGAGTCCTGCATCGCCCACGCCATTGGAAACCTATGCCAGAGCTTCCTGCTCTCCTATGGAGTTAGGGTTGGGGTCAGGATCCTCCTCCAAGCGTTCAAGCTCGCCAAGCGACGGTCGTACTCGTCGATCCTTGATCTCAAGGTATGCATTTCTTTCCTCCCGTCGTTGATTTTTGTGTGGAATTTGATGCCTCTGAAGATCGATTTCTTTCTTTCTTTCTGTTATTTATTATCTTATCATAGAATTTGAAAGGCACATGCAAATGTTGCTGTTATAACTCAGGTGAAATTTAAAAATTAAGTAGAAACACCAATACAACCTTGCTTTGATCTCAACAGTAGTGATTATGTTGAAATAGAACACACGAAATAACACATATTGAGAGGTGAAAATCAATTGGCAGTCCCTAATGACGACAATGACGTCAATATGCTACATGTTCTCATAATCATTTAATATGATCGGAATATGTTGCTCCTTTGATTTTAACTTCGACTACTAATTAGTTATCTATCTAAGTGGCAGAGCTGGATTTTCCCCTCCTAGGAGGGGCCAAAATACAGTTATCAATCATAGTTATCTACATTCTCAAAGAAGGCATTGTTCTTACAATAATAGTGTCTGATATCATTACTCCAAATTAACAATTAGTTGGAATCCTAAGGGCTTTCGGTTTTCAGAGTTTTATGAGGGCGCACGCTGTTGCCATTAGGCATTGGAAAATTTTACAAATAGAATTGAAGGACGGAAGAGATATGGCAGTCCAATGATGGGTTTTATTAGCTAATGCAAAAACAATGATCATGAGAGGACCCTCAATGACCATTTCAAGGACTTGTTAGTGTTGAACTCCGCTATGTTTTTAAGGTAGATTTTAGGACGGTTTGAGACTAATTGAGCTTGTTTTCCTTGTATCAGTTTTGGTCTCTGTGTTTCATTCTGGTGTATTCCTCCATCCAGACTACTTCCTGTATTTAACTAGTTTTTACAATAATTTGGTCTTGTGTTTGGATTTAGGCTTTCTTTTTCATGAGATGAGATGTATTCGTCAGCTGTTGGTTATGGGAGTATTACTGCATTCTATTTTGTGTTGGTCAATTAGAGGTAGATTGGCATTGCTGATACATGTTGATAAGAAAACAGTGCTTAAATTGTATGATCTTGAGTTTAATTCTGGACTAAGTGCTTAAATTGTATGATCTTGAGTTTAATTCTAGCTTACCAAATTTTAAGTGCGACTAATTGCTAACATCACACAAGTCCGTGTCACATTAATCAGTTTCTTAATTATCTAGTTCATGTTGCCGGAGATCTGTCCAACAAAGTTAAATTTTAAATACCATCTTTCAGTAGTAGGGCACATAAGAAAAATTCACTTGTATTGCGTCTTCTCAAAGCAAGCAAGCACAAACTCAATTAGCAATACTAATCTACAACTAATGTTTAAAGCAGCCCCAAATTCAGTAGGAACCAAGAAGGGTTGAACTTTGCCAGCTTTGTTTAGAATAGGATGTTGATTAAGATGTGCGCAGCTAGTGGAGTACTAAAGCTCTTCTGAAGTTTGATTTGTGGATACCAATTGCATAAATATCTTCATAGATCCCAAGCTTTTGTGCTCAATATTATTATTTGCTTATCCATATTGAAAATGATTTCTATTTTCTTGCTGTTGCAGATGGTGCCTCTTGTATTTACAGGTTTTGATGGTTCCTTGATTAGCACGCAAATGTGAGCTCGGGATCTTTGTTTTCATTTTCAGAGAAAGTACATTGAAAAAAAATCTTCAGTCAGCACAAAAATGAAATTGTAAGTGATGTGTGTTGTTGAGCTTAATTCAAGATAGAAACTGGAAGCAGCAAATGGTGGTGAAACCTCACAGGCTTCCAGAGAAGTGGACCACTTCTTTATACAGATGCTCATCAGTCGATGATGAATTGTTCAAGTGGTTGAGAATTTTGATACCAAATTCAACTGTGACATTTACAACAACATTATATTCAAAAGCATACCAAATTCAAATGTGTTTCATTGGATATCTATGCGGTTGGTTTAATATATTAGCATTAAGGACATTTGTCTTTATAATTAATTGAGCGTTACTTCCTCCTGAGTGTTGAACTATGTCACTTACAAGATTTGTTTATGATTTATATCCTGGTTTGTTCTGACATGTTTATACTTATTTGCTTGTGATGCAGATAATGCTAGGGTTATTGTGAACCCAAAGGGGGAAATGAAAGGTATATTACATCCTTTTCCCATGGATTATCCTTTTTTTAACCATCTCAGCATCAGACTCTATTTTGTACATGCATTGTTGTTTGTAGTGAAAACTGTAATGCATAAATTTATTTTTGCTTCTTCATCTAATATATATCTATCGATGTTTTCTGCTTCTTCAGGATTTGCAATTATTGGACCAATTGGAAAGGAGTGTGCTGATTTGTGGCCTAGGATTGCTAGTGCAGCCAATGCCATTTGTAATATCCAGATTTTTCTTCAGGTGTCAGTGAGGATGAGTAGTTTCATGTTATTTGTTATTGAAAAGAAAAGTGAGTTTTTTAAATATGGATCCATATTTATATTGGATGTTTTTGTTTTCCCGTGACGTACATATATTGGAATTGATATTCTGGGATCAAGCTGATGGTAACATTGTTTTCCTTTTGTGATGGTTTGAAGATAATAATAGTGATGGTTTGAAGATAATACTGATTCATATATTGGATATCATTGTTGAAAATTTATTAATAAATAAGCTATTGGAAAATTTGAAGATATTTTATCAAACTTCTCAGGGGCTTTGTGAAATTTATCCTAACTTTTACCTCAACATAAACCTTAATGTCCGCATAAAAGATTGAGGAGTTAAAGAGAAAGCATAAATTTTCTTAAAACACAAATTCTGAAATCCAAGTTCATGTATAATAAAGTATATCCAAACACTATATTTCAAATCTTTGATTTCAAATCCTTGCATTTTGTAAAGATACCCAAACAAAAGATTCTATCAAATCATTGATTTCAAATCCTAGATTTAAAATCCTTTGATTTTAAATCAACATTCCAAATCCAAATCTTAGTTCCCAAACGCAGCCTAAGCATATTTAAATATTTAAAATTTCATGGATTATATATCTTTACTAATTTTAATTCAATTTGATCCAATAGCAATTAAATGTGTACTTCAAACTTAGCGAAATTTCATGGACTATAACCCATAATTTTTACTCATTTTAATTTGACTTGACCCAATAGCAATTAAATGTGTACTTCAAATTTCGCAATTTCATGGACACCCACTATTTTTGCCCATTCTCATTTGTATGATTCGATATAGACTAAATACACATACTTCATATTTCACAATTTCCATGAGTTAAAACCAACAATTTTTTCTATTTTCGTTTGATTCTACCCAATGACAATTTAGATTGCTTACTTCAAAATTCGCGATTTTCATGAACTATAACCAACGTTGTTTGTTAATTTTCGTTCATTTGAACCCACATCAATGTGGAATGAAGGAGTATTTCATAATCGCTACTTTTGTCCCTTCACTCCTTTGTTATTCACTTCAAACCAATATAACAACTAAGTATATGTATTTCAAAATGTGAAATTTTCATTGGCTTCTTTAACCCACATTTTTCCCATTTTTGCTTTTTTTATTCAAGGATATTAAGTACACATTTTTTTAATATTTGAACTTTCATGGTCTATATAGCCCATAATTTTTGTTAGGTTACAATTGATTTGCCTAAATGGCAACTAAGTATGTGACACACCCTGGTTTCCAAAATGTATAAGTTGAAACGTGACTCGGACGACAATGCAACCATACGATCACATTCACGTCTCTACCAGTAATTAGATATACAACCAAAAATTATGCAACAAAATATGTAACTAAGATAGCAAAAGGAATATATAGTAATAAAGAGATCTCCAAAATGATAAAGAGTTCGGCTACATCTCTCCACAATGAAAAAAGAGTAAGAAATACATCATAGTCTGGAAAGACCACATGTGGCTCAAAGGAAAGTTTAAAATAAATAAACTACCTAAAAACTAAAGCTGAAGAAATGAATAAGATAGGGCATTGCCGCTAGGCCTGCTCCTCAAAATCCTCTTGATCCTAAAAGAAGAAACAGTCGCCCCAGCCTATTAACTTTGAAATTATACTTGAACATGTTGAATGATAGGAGTATCGGACTTCATATTCTATTTTCTATAGTGGAACTGTGGTAAATGGTGCAAATTATGGACTGGTGATTTGAAATTTTTGACATGATGATATATTATATATGTATATATATAATATTAATATATTATATTTTATATATATATATATATTATATTATTATATATATATATATATGAGTATGCTTGGTATGAACCAAATTAAGTTTTTGTACTGTGGTAGTGAGGTGTCTCATTCTCATTGCCACACATTCAAATAGAGGATTCACATTTCAGCATGGGTTTGGAGGAGTGGATGAGAAGTGAGACACCTTCACCTACCAAGTACAAATTTTGCTGGTCCACCAAGCATACTCATATATATCATATAGTAATATAATTTTATATAATATATATATATATATATAAATATATATTATAGAATAGAGAGAGAGAGAGAGGAGAGGAATATGGGTTACCTTGGCAGGGATCCTGGTAGTGATTGACACATTTGTCCATACATCACACTTTGAAGTTGGTGAGCTCCCATCTTCAACAGTGTGATGTATGGACAGAGATTGTGTCACAATACTACCAAGGATCCTTGGTACAAGTATACCATTTTCTGCCATATATAATATATAATAAATTATATTATATTATATAATAATATATATAATATTAATACTTTGAGAAGAAAGCAAACGCCATTAGGAAGGATCTTGCAGGGGCAGATCCATGAGGCGTCGTAGGGGCTAGATGCACCCCTAAATTTTTATTTATCTTTTCGACTCTAGTAAAATTATAATCTGCCCCCACAATTTTAAACTAGTGAGCACCCCGTGCAAAGCACGGCCCCTATTTTTTTATTTCCGCTACAGTAATTCTATTTTTAAATATTTTTTGTAAGTGCTACTGTAGGCGTCTAAAAATGTCTATAGGTGTCCGAATATAACTCGAGACAAAGAGAAGATGAACGTCATTATCTAAGTCCAAATAGGATCATCCAAGGCCGTAAAGAAGCTAACGAGCGCACGAAACAATAAATGACAAAAGACGCAAAACGGCGAAATATACAAGTCCGGAAAAGTTGAAAAACGCCAAAACACTCCAAAGAGGCACGCCCGTGCGGGTCACCACGAGGTGACCCGCACAGAGCCGAGTCACCAGGACCTGACGCGCGCACCGACTTCCCAAAACGCATTTTCGGGAGGTTTCTTTGGGATTTCTTCGTTCCAGAGTGTCCCAACTGCTTTGATACGTGATTAGGCCAATGCCAACTGAAGATATGACCAAATCATTCATTCTTATCCAAATACCTTGCATCCGAAGCGTTATAAATACAAGCCTAGGGCCTTCTTTCAGGGGGAGCGAATTTAATCAAAGAGGACGAGATGCTGCCGAATTGCAGAGGAGGAAGCACGAAATTCCAAAGGGGCTAGCAGATTTCTGACGAACTTCAACATAAAGAGAAAGTTATTCGAAGGATCTGAGACCCCGTTCCAGTATTCCTTGAGATCAGGCTTGGACTTGATCTCGAGAAGATTAGTGATCTCGCTTGGTCGAGATCATTTACTTCATCAATTACTTCCTTGATGAAGTGAGAGCTTTAACCAATCTTCTGTCAATCGGATCTGATCCGAGACGATCCACGGATAAACCCCGGTACCGGCAAAGATCTCACGCAAACAATAGGCGATAAAGATCTATTGTGTGTAGTTTGAAAAAAATTGTAATAAATTTTTATTGTGTAAGTCTTATAAAAAGACTTTCTTTTGAATTTATTGTAACACCTAAAGTTGTAATGAATTCATCAATGAGAACAACTTTCGAATCAAACACGCTGGCGACCACAGTGGGAACCAACAGCATTTCTGCAAAGGCTGTTGCATCACAACCTCGGATCCGGATCCTGGTTGACGAAGAGGTCGAGTACAAGTTCGATCAACAGAAATTCGGGGAATATTTGTCGTCCTCCTCCTCCAGATCCTCCGCCCCTCGCAAGCGCAGGAAGATCAAGACCCCCGTTGCTACCATTTGCACTGTTGATACCATCAACAAAAGAAATAAATAGAAGTATGATTATTATAGACTGATTATTATAGACTATATATACTGTCGTTTGCATCGAGGTAGCTATGATTTGTAGATGCAGGCTCATTGTCTTGCCGGGAAACAAACACAGGGTTTTGAACATGGAAATTTCAAGAATCAAGACACCAGGAAACATTTCTGTACATGTTTTGTTTTTAGATATTTCATATTTATATCTAACTTGCAAAAAATATATGACATTAGGTATACACATTATAAGCAAAAATGTTCTTTGCCTAAGTCCAAACATCAAAAGATAGGATCGACTAGTAACCAAAATGGTAACAGAAAATATCAAGAAGTCACCCACGTTAATCTAGACTCCATTGTCAAGCAAACTAAAAGTTAAAAAGACACCAACCATTATGTGAACAAAAGGGAAATAAACAAATGAAATTTCCAAACCGACTAGAAAATTTCACTAAAGAATGAAAAAGGAATGAAGACCTCGATGCATATGCATAACAAATGTCTCCCAACTGTCCAACTCTTCAAGCTGTTACCCACCCAATCTTGAAAAAATAATCTTTGCCCCAAAACACCCAAGATGAAAGGAACAAGAACACCACTACCAGTGGAGCAACTACAACGCAAACTACAAGCCACATTAATTGAAATTTTTTTATAACAAAAAAACAGTAACAAGAACAACGAAAAGAGAGAAGGGTCTATTGCGCCTAAATTTCCTGTTGTAATTACCAACTATCTTTTCCGTAGAAAAGTTTCCTTAAAACCAGAACTCAAATTTATAAGAATCCGTACTAAACTACTAATTGAGATTCTAATTGAAGAAAAGTTAAATCAAAGATAAAAAAAAGAACTAACCTTTGTGAAGGTATCGGCCTTCTGTATAATTGACTTCCGATTCTTCAAATAAAGAAAGAAAAACAAGGACGTCATAGAGGTGACAATCCACATGGTGTCTGTGGTGGCTCCAATGGGCCGACAAACGGCAAGTGGCGGCTGGTGCAGTAGTTCAAAGTGAGGCACAATGGACTCAGATTCACATGTAGCAGCGAACCATGGAGGTGCAGGAGTGCGCTACAGTGAAGGACCACTGCAGAGGCATACAGTAGTGTGTGTGGCGGTGCGTGCACGGTGGGCACACCAGTGGTAGTCGTTGACAGAGGTAGCTGGAAAAAAGAAAAGATACATGGATAAGGTTAACTGTATGTATTACTAAAACCATGTTGTAAGGATAGAAAGAGAAAAATTGGACACCGTGCAAAAGTTAAAAGCAAATCATAGGTCATGTTATTGATATCTCTAATTTACACAAGCTGCAGTAAACTAAACATAAGTGCTCAATAATTATCACCATAAGTGCAGCTATTAATGAAGTTAACTGTCAATTCCTCACTGAATCATCCACTCATTGCAATTATAGATGTGCATGATATAGGACAACTCTATACTTGAAAAGAACACATTGTTAAGCAGTAAAGACTGCCAGTGGAAAGAGTAATCTGTGAGGACCTATGCCCAGACCTGTTGTTTATATTATTTAATCTGGAACAAAATCATGCAAAGACAGCTGCTTGTTGCTTATAAAGTAATGACGAAGAAAGAAGAAAGCCGATAAATTGAATCTAGAACAAAAAATACAGAAATAACCATAGTCTGGCAGGGGAAACTAAAGTAACCTGAGAATACCCAAAAATACCTGCTTTAATCTTATCTGAATTCTCCATTTAAATGCCACTATTAAAGGAATTATGTCACAAAACCACAGTTGGTTGTTTAACCAGGACAATTCCACAGTAAATAAATAATTAATTGGTGGTAGTCGTACAGGCCAAACTACATTTGAAATGCAGATGTAAACATAAAACTAGAGAAAAAGCAGTTAAAGTTGCCGCAATGGACTGAAATCTGAATGTCTGGTTGTGGCAAAGATTATGATAAGACCAAAACATAAAACATTCACTGAGGTTTTTCAAGTTTTCTTGGTTTCCAACACTGACAATTCAAATTTCTAATCCCAATATGCTATTTTCCTTCTTTTGTTTCTAGCTCCTAATATTGAGATTGCTCCAGGCCCCAGGGTAAGCACGCATCTGCATTGGCTCACTGAGCTATGCCTTGCCATGTGATTTCTTCAGAGAAATGAATAACTTGTAGGATTATTATGAAAAGTAAAATGTATCGCAAAAAAAATATCTAGACCAACAATGTACTATGAAAACAACAAAATTGTACTAATTCTGCATCAGAGGGCTCAATGAGAAAAAATGTTGTCTTTACCCATTCCTTCCACCAGAAAAGTACAAAAGAAGATAAGAATAACATGAAAAGTTTAGAAACATAAGTTATCGTGTTCTTCAAAAATAAGGTAGATTATCACTTCTTTTTATTTCTGCTAAAAAGATGAACTTTAGTTGAGAGTTCTTTTCAAACTGAGAATTTTACAACAAATTTAAAATGTAAAAACAAATAAGTCTTTGAATTTTGCTCGAGACTGCATATACTTTAAATTTATTATTTACTTACTAAGCTGGATATATAGGAAGGTAGAAAATGAGCATAATATTACTCTCTATTACTAAATTCTTTCTTTTTAGCATGAGACTTCTGCCAATTATGAACATAGCTACATAAATACTCGCAAGACAACAGTTTGGTTTAATTAATTTGTGAATGATGATCTGTAAACTACCTGGTAGATCTTTACAACATTTTAAGGCTCAAATGATTTTCCACGCTCATACTTAAACATCACTCAGGTGGAATATAAACTACCAAATTACGATTCTGAAATCAATGCCTGTTACTTTGGGACCTGGTCCCTAGACTCCAGCAAATTTATATGGTCTAAGATGGACTTCTCTTACTATTCTGTCATAGTTAACCAGGACAACCACGAAAAGAAATTGAATGGTGGACATTATCTGCTTAAAGCACGTGTGCAACTTGGATGAAAGGAGTACATTCTAAAATTTTGTTTCACGTGTATAAAAATATCAATCATATTGAAAAGTAGGTCATAAGGGGCTACTAAATCTATCCTTGAGAAGCAATTGAAATTCAAAACTTTGATAATTCTGTAAGATGAAAAACATGAAGAAACTGGAATTGATGATTTCAATTTCCAACCTCATAGACACAAGTATGCTGACGAACAATCATTCTTACCGCCAAATACTAGCCATTTGCTAGCTGACCTGTTGTGCTAGTTTTTGTTAGAGAGAAGGTCCTTGTTTAAATACACACCTGAATTCATAACGATCCATAATAATTAAGATTAAGATTTTCATTGATAAAGCTAGCCAAAGAGAGAGAGAAAACTGACCTTTGTGAAGATATCTAACTTCTCCACTATGATCTGCACGATGATCAATCCCAGATTCTTCTTCAAGTAAACGAAACAAAAAAAAAATGAATCAACAAAAACTCTCCACACTGACGTGACAATTTAAGTAAAATTGAGAGAGAGGTTACCAAATGTGACCCGCATTATACAGCAGATCAATAATAATAGTAAGGAAAGATTTCAAATCGACAAGTAAGTTTCACGACAACGGAATCAAGAAAGAGATAAGACATATACCGAGTATCTCCCCGTTGTTCAATTCTTCTTGCCATTACCAAGTTTCTTAAAAAAATCGTCTTCGCCCGAAATCCTGCAATCAGAAAAGGTTAACAAAATTATTATTTTGAGAGACAAATTATTAAATTTCGGTAAAATTAGCAAATAAGAAACAACAAAAGAGGAGAAAAGAGAGAGAGAGAGAGAGAGAGAGAGAGAAAAGGAAGGATCTTGGTGGAGTTACCACGCCAATTCTGTCCTTTTCGTGATTGACATCGAATTTTGCCCACGAAATTTCCCTTTGCCCTAAAAACTCAAACTTGAAGCAAATGAGAATCGACATTGCTCATGATCAGCTTTCTTCAACTAAAATATTGAAGAAATAGGGGGGAAAACAAAAAAATTAACCAAATTCGAGAGGAGAACATTACCAGAAGCCCAATTCCTTTCGCCAAGACGCGTCTTCGCTCTGATGCTGAAACCCCAGAAATGAGGCAGCGGAAACCCTAGAACTAACTAATAAGGAAACAAAACCCTAATTAATTTGTCTTCTTGCGAAGAGAAAAGGAGATGAGGAGTTGGTTAATGAAGCACAAGCGCTTACTTGTGTAGACGAAATTAATGAAAAAGAAATGATAGGGGAAAACCCTTGTACACACCACCAACCACACTCCACCTCTATCTACAGTGCAGGGGCCTCACATGTGATTTTTTTAAAAAAAATCACATGTGAGGCCCCTGCACTGTAGATAGAGGTGGAGTGTGGTTGGTGGTGTGCCCAAGGGTGTGTCCCTAACACCCCTCTTAATGAAATGATCATTTTAACGTCAGCGTTCAAAGAACGCTACGCGTGGACTACGCGGTTGTAAGTTAATGGACCGGTTCACCCGATTCACTTTCGATGGGAGCCCGGTTCAGGCTGATGTAACGGCCCCAAATCAGGCTAAAGAAATGAGCCCAAGTAAAGGATTTCTGCTTTTGGGGTTGCTTTTGGGGTTGATGGTACTCGGACTGGATGTGGGGAGCGGATTCCCCCGCTCGTCACGATAAAGCGTCAATGAAAATACTACTGCTTTCTCGTAAATGTTGGTTATTAATGAAAGATTGAGATTAGTCGTATTGATTGTATAATAGAAAAGAGCACAGTTTATGAAAATAGGATTTGGATCCTCTTCACTATAAAAAATTAGTGAATGGACCACTACATAATCACAGTCATTGATTATATAGTTGACAGTTATGATTTTTTTACAGTTTTTCTATAGAGTGCCCATGGACACTTTATAAGAGATGAGAGAGATAGAGAGAAATAAATAAGGAGAGGATCCCAATGCAAATCAGAGAGCCCCCTTCTCATTCATTTCTCTTTATCTCTCTCCTCTTTTATAGAGTGTCCACGAACACTCTATAGAAAAACCATTTTTTAATACAAATTAGAAATAAGTGCAACACACAAAAGTATGATAAATATTAGATTTAGATTGTATAATAACCACCTACTAAATAATCATCGATTGAGATTAAAAGTAATGATCTCTCCACTATTTTTTTTTTATAGTGGAAAGGATCCAAATCCATGAAAATATAGTAATATTATTTTAAAAATGGATTAAAATTGTCCATCTCCACCCATTAAAGAATCTAATAGTTAATATTAAACTAAAAATAGTAGTCCCTCAAGACACACGTAAATCAGAAAAAATGCCTTCACGCTTAGAATAAACAGAGGAATACTCTCACATCTAGAGAAGAAAAATCCCAAAAAAATAAACTAATGAACCAGTTTTAGTACAACGCTCGAGCGCACTTCGTATCATTTTCCATATTTCGTATCGTTCTGTCTCATGCACGCAAGCACGCAAGCATTGGAAAACTAGCATAGTGTAAATACATGAGAGATTGAGTTATATTTTATATATTAAAAAATGAGAGATTAAGCTATGTTCCGAAATCACGCAAGAGTTGGATTAAAGCAACTTATTACAAAATTAATCGCAGCAAACTACTGAACAGAGTTGCAACTAATTAACTGAAAACAAAACACCGAGCATCGACATTTACAAACCCATCACGCTGAACAAACCATCAAAAAAACCCAAAGAAATCAAGCTCCCCACTGCTCTTACTCAATCACCCAGTTCATCTCCGACCCGTAAACCTCCTTCAACTTCCTCATCAAAGCCCTGGTGTGCGGAGCTCGCGGTGCCCCTCTCCCTTTTCTCCCTTGAAAATCTGGCTCGCCCGCCGCAGGCGCGATGTCGTCGACCGTTGTCCTCACGAACGGTATACCCCCTCCACCCCCTACCCCACAGGCGTCCTCTTCTCTCCCGTTCCCTCGCCCTCGATATCGGCAGCCTCTGTCCGCCAAACTCGCGATCTCCGACAGCGGAGACGCCTTTGTGCTCTCTGTAGTACTTCGTGCGTCATCACCGCTCCACCGCCCCCACCGACTCTTTCATTCTTCTGCCTCCTCCTTGTCGAGGGGACTGCCGTCGGGAGACCAACGCAGGCCACGTCGTTCGACGCGACAGGTGGCGTTTTCTGTTGGAAGTGGGTTCGTACAGTGGGGGCCGACTGCCGGCGCTCTTGGAGACTCGGAGAGGAGGCGAAGTCGCGGGGACTTGACGAGTGGCTGCAGGTGGGGTCGTTGGTTCGCACGCGAATAGCGCTGTTGTGGGGTGCTTTCGTTGTTCGGCTTCAGCAAGCCGCCGACTTGGCGGCCTCATCGGCGTCTTCGCCCTAGTGGCATTAATATACTGATTATTATCACTTAGAAATTAAAGAGTGAAAAAATATAAAAAGTAAATATTTATCTCAGTGATTTCGTATCCATTGCATTAATGCTAGCTGCAGCAGCGTCAACATATGAGACATACCTGGGGATCTTCAGAGTGGACGGCAGGGTCGCCGGGCTTGAAGGGGGTTGTGGACGCACGTGAGTGAGGGAGGAGGCACGTG